CTTATTTAACATTTTTTGAAATGTTCAAGGACTTATTTGTTCCAAAAAATTGTCCAATGACTTATTTAACATGTTTTGGAATGTCCAATGACTTATTTGTTCCAACAAAAGTCCAAGGACTTAATCATTTCAAACAAGAAAGTCCATTGGTTTTTATTGTACTTTTCCTTTTTTTTATTTGCATATATCCTAAACTCTTTTCTTTTTTAAATCTTGAATACTTGATAATACCTCTCTCATCTATATTATATTATAAAACACTTGATAAAAACTCTTAAAATTTGTTTTTTGTGCATGGAGTATTGTTTATTGATGCATATTACTTAAAATTCAAGATTATAAGTAAATTATGCGTAAGTACAAATTATTAAAGCTTCATGTTTGGATCCATGTAACTAGCTGCATATAAACATGATTGAATAGAAGATAAACATTTCACTTTAAATATAAAAAATCTAAAATATAATTAGGATAGTCATTGAATTCTAATAAAATACTTAGTTATTATCTTTATAAAAAATTATATTATTAAACCAAACATAAAAAATGAATTAAAGAGATACAAAAAATGGAGAAATTTTAAATAGTTAGTTTGGTACTAATATCAATAATTTTTTACATTTTTAAGATATCTTCATATTTATATTTTATTCGAAAATAAAAACATTAAGCTTTTTTAAAACCACATAAAACCGTATTGTAACATCGATCGAGACAAAAAAAACATTAAAATTAAGATGTATCTCGTTACATTATCCAAATACCTTCTATTTGTTGTGTTTGTTTAATTTAGAATTTGAATGAAAAAGAAAGAAAGGAAGGAAGGAAAACTCTGAATTGAGTTGTATTTCATTTTGAGTTGGAAAAAATAACACTTTCTTTTGTGTGGAATATTTAATATTCTTGTCACTTCTTTCACTTCATTTTGTGTAATCATGTCACTTACATGTCACCTTCCTTCTTTCTTTAAATCCTTTTTATATCCATAATAATAAATAATAAATAATAAATAATAAATAATAATAATAATAATAATAATAATAATCTATACTATATTATAAAATATTTGATAAAAATTCTTAAAAATCACTTTTTATGCGTAAATTACTGTTTATTAATGCATATTACTTAAAAGTCAAGATTGCAAGTAGATTGCGTAAGTACAACTTATTAAAGCTCCATATCTGAATTTGTGTAACTAACTGCAAATAAACATAATCAAATACAGGATAAACATCTCATTTTAAATATGAAAAATATAAAATATAATCAAGATAATCATTGAGTTCTAACAGAATACTTAATTATTATCTTTATAAAATATTATATTATTAAACCAAAAAAATTATTTCATTATTAAACTTAAATTAAATTATAATAAAAAAATAAACTAAAGAAATTACATAAAAAATGAAAAATTTTAAATAGTTGATTTGAAATTAACATTGATATTTTTTTTTAAAAATTATGATATCTTTAAATATATATTTTATTCAAAAATAAAATCATTATTGTTTTCTTAAAAACACATAAAATCGCATTATAACATCGATAGAAACAAATAATAAAATAGAACATTAAAATCGAGATTTATCTCGCTGCATTGTGCGATGACTCTTCTAGTAATAATAGTAAATGACATTATTAGAAGGAGACTTGTGATTATATGAGAACAACCAGTTTTTTGAAGACTCGTGAGACTATAAAAAATTATGATGAACCCTTACTGGAAAAAACAAAAAAATAATGAATCTTCATAGCAAAACATTGTGAAATTTTGTTTCAATACCTTCGGAGTGTTTTCATTGTGGTACGAAGAATAATTAAATAAATATATAATAAATAAAATGATGATGTGTTTTACTTTGATTGGTGGGAGGTGGAATTTAGGAACATGATTTTTATCATTTTATTATTAACTTGATTCTAATATACCGCAAAACATTACATAGACAATATTTGAAAACAAATACAAACTATTATTCAAGTTCAATGCTTAATAAAAATACGGTCTAATTTAACCACAGGCCATCAATGCCAATAGAACGAGCGTTGGTACAAGATCTAGTGAATTTCTTTTATTCATTTTGCATACGGTTTAGAAGTGATTTCTTTGAGTTACAACGATAGAATATAATCAACTAAATTCTTTAATGACTGATGAGAAGAGCCACCTTTTTCTAGAGAGAGGTTTACCTTCTCCCTTAGACAGCATATTCTCTTGCGGATTTCTTCTCCTTCTTCATCCATCATTACTCTATTGATTGTCGTCTCAATCCCTACCCTTTCAAACCCATCCTCCAACAAAACGCCAATCTTCCAAATGTCGCACACGTATCTTGCATTTATTGGTTGGTCGACAAAACATGGAGAACAAACCATAGGAACTCCTTCACATATGCTCTCTAATGTTGAATTCCATCCATTATGAGTCCAGAAACACCCTGTTGCTGGATGAGCTAGTACTTCTTGTTGAGGAGACCATTTCACTATACGTCCCTTATCACCAACTCTTTCTAGAAAATTTTCCGGCAACGACTCCAACCATTCTGAACCATAAACGACCCCAGGTCGAACCACCCACAAGAATGGTAAACCGGTATTAGCTAACCCATGCGCTGCTTCTTGAAATTCTGACTCAGTTATACTTGCAACACTCCCAAAACTTACATATATCACAGATTTTGGTGCTTGGTTGTCTAGCCATGAGAGAATGGTCCGGTCTTGTTCAATCAAGCTACTATTGGATGCCGGGAAGTACTTGTGAAATGGGCCTAAAGTGAAGCTTGGAATTTGATAATCTTTACAAAGGGTTTCTAGTGTAGATTCTTCGAGTTCTTTAAAGGTGTTCCAAATGAGTCCTGATGATGCTTTCATTTGATTGAGCATATTGGTAACCAAATCTACCATACCTTGTGGGTTGATTGTGATCTTTACGAGGTCTTTAACTTTCATAAGTGGAAATTCTGATACCCTTGTCTCGTAATCTAAATATAAAAAGGATTGATTCAAATTTAAATGATTTATAATTAACATTTTTACCCAAACATGAACCTATCTAATTATATATATAGACTTGGGATTATGTGAGACCAAGGGTTTTTCGTGAGACCCGTAAGACCAATTCTTAACCCTTGAATTAGATCTATAATCTGAACATTCATAATCACAAAATTATCACGAGACTTCTCAATAATCACAAAATTGTCACCGTACAACTTTAGACTATTAGATCATTAGCTTATAAAATTGATCAATAAACATAAATTGGTCTTACGGGTCTCATAAAAAACCCTTGGTCCCACATGAACCCAACCCTATAGAGAGAGAGAGAGAGTTTGTTTCAAATACAACCCAGCACATTTGTACAACAATGCAACCTAATGAATTGAGATATTTATAGAAATGATGAGAGTTCATTTATTATGATTTGAATATTTATGGAAGATGAATATGGTTTATTAATTATGATCAATACTTTATATTAGGAAACAATTAAAACTTCTATGAAATCACATATTAATCAAATGAAATGGAAGGTTGAGATTGGATTGTATTGGTTGCACAAATGCCGAGGGTTGTATAATAACCAACCTCAGAGAGAGAGAGAGGGGTGAGTTATTATGCAACTTTTTACATTTGTATAACCAATACAACTCAATCTCAACCGTTCATTTGATTTGATGAATATGTGATTTCATGAAAGTTTTGATTGTTTCCTAATATAAAGTATTGATCGTAATTAATGAACTTTAGTCATCTTCCATAAATATTCAAATCATAATAAATGAACTCTCATTATTTCCATAAATATCTCAATTGATTGGGTTGCATTGGTTGTACAAATGTGATGAGTTACATTTGAAACGTTCTATATATATATATATATATATATATATATATATATAGATGAACGTTCAAATAAAAACTATTCAATTTGTACAAACCGTGAAAACCGCATTTAACCAATCATAATTTTTCATTTTGTTCATTTTTTTGTAATTATGAGAGGTTGATCAACCATTTTTATTGTGAAAGGTGTTAATCATGGATATTATCATCTTCATTATTTTAATTTTAGAGAAATACATGAAACAGTTTCATTAAAATTTCATTAAATATTATATGAAACAATTTCATAACCATATATGAAACAAATTCATCAAAAAATGTATTATATGAAACAATTTCACAAGATTAAACAATTTCATGAAAAAATTTCATAAGATTAAACAATGAAATTGACGTATGAGAGTGGTTTGTACGGTTTTTACAAATGAAAGTGGTTTTTATTTGATCGCTGATATATATATATATCTCTCTCTCGAGAAGAAACGAACATATATCATCAAAAATGTCCCCATTAATGAGTTTGAAGACATGCGAGAGATATTTATCGATTGAATGGAGAGACTTCTTCTCTTTACATTTATGGCTTTTAATTTCCTTCAATATATTAATTACTAAAATAAATTATAAAATTATTACGTAGATATTAAAATCAAAAATATACTTATAAACTAAAATATAATTTAATTTCTACATTTATATTTTTACTTTTCATTTCATCAATTTGTGTAATAAAAATAAATTGATGAGTAAGCTGTTTTTAATATAGATGTTAAATTGAGGTATAAAAACTAAATATAAAAAATAAAAACTAAATTATTTTATACATATTTTATTATAATATTTTGTACAAATAGGAGAAGAAATCTATATCAATTTATACACCAAAAATATCCAAAATAATAAACTGAAATAAGGGTTTTTGTTATAACCAAATGATTTTAAGGGTGTGCTTTGTATCTAGACGGGACATGACATGACAATTGTTCGACGTTTGGTAAGATAAAACTGAACTGAACATAACAGAACAAGTAAAATGACCAACTTACCCCTAATAAGTTGTTTATTCTAATTATTTTATGTAATTTATTAAATCATAATTAATAAAATAATTATTTTTTATAACAAAATATATCATTTGAAAGTTTTTATCAAAACAATTAAAATGACATCAAATAAAAAGTTTATGTAGTTTCCAATTTTTATTTTTGTCTCTTTTCTACAATATTTTTTTATTATTAATAAATAATAAATTACATAAATTAATAAAAATATAGAAATCGTATAAAAATAATATTTTGAGGACAGCAAAATGAAAGTTTAAGAAATATAATATACAATAAATAAATTAATAAAATATAAAAAAGGAGATGTATTTGATTTGTTAAAAGAGAATTAAATTTTATTTTGAGATTATATAGGTTAAATATAAGACTATTTCACCTTGTTCTATGGGATAAGGTGGAACATGCATATTTCACTTTGTTACCGTAAAAGTCATGCCAAATACGGAGAGTTATCCTTGTCCTATTATTTTCTATCCAATTCCAATGTAACAAACGCAATCTAACAGGATCGAAAAATGTAACAGGAAGCATCATGCAAAAATCTTATATAGAATGAAACAAACTGACCTTCTTTTGGAAGATTGAAGTAACCCTTTTCAAATGAAATGGGTAGAAAGCCATAAGCTAAGACACAACCAAGACTGCTTGTTCGGAGCACCAGGCGAGGGATGTTGAGTGCGTCGGCCACCGCCTGCGTGAAGTAGAATACGGCATCTGTGATTAGACAAGCAACCGGGTCTTCATCGGAATATGTCGCCAACAACTCAGCCAGACAGTTCCTAAACGGATCTACGCAGCTGTTATTAAGGTGTGTAAGGTAATAGCTGGCGTCTGAGTTCACTGACAACTGCTTTATAATCTCAGAAAAGCCGTTGTCGGAGATGGAGCTAAAGGTGAAGTGAGGATAGTTTGAATAATTGGGAGAGTTGTATTGAGTGTGTATGATTGTTATTTTAAAACCTTGAGTGTGAAGAATGTTTGCCAGCTGAAGCATGGGATTGATATGACCCTGGAAAGGTAGGGGAAACAATATAATTCTCCGGCGAGGTGCCGTCGGAACTGTCCACCGGAGACTGGGAGCTTCTCCATGGGTCTCCATTATGAGGGGCGACAAAGTGGAAGAAAGACTTGTGGGTTTTCTGGCTCTGAATTAAATGATTTATTTCATTGTTTATTTTCAGTTTCAGTCCCTCAGGTATATGGATGATTCACTTTTAAGGTTTTGAGATTTGATACTTTTATATATTGGTTGGATTGATAGATTTCTCTATGTATGTGGTTTGAAAAATCTCTAACCCAACCCAACCAAATTCAAACCAAAGTGCAACCTAACCAAACTCAAATTCTACGGGTTGGTCGGTTTGATACTTTGTTATATGAAAATATTCTTCTCATCTTGTATATGTTATTTTCTCTACTCATAATTTTCTTTGGTACAACTTATTCATAATCCTTAAATCTTAAGTATATTACATTCAACCACTTTCATCAATTTGCACACACACACACACACACACACACATATATATATATATATATATTCTTCTCACCTTGTATATGTTATTTTCTCTATTCATAATTTCCTTTGGTACAACTTATTCATAATCCTTAAATCTTAAGTATATTACATTCAACCACTTTCATCAATTTGCACGCGCACACACACACACACACACACACATATATATATATATATATATATATATATATACATGTGTGTGTTATGTGTGTGTGTCCAAATTTATTGAACATATATACGAATGAGTATTATAGAGATGGAGAAAAGAATGAAAATATATGTATATGAAAATGTACGTGATGGCGTAATTGTCTAATGTACATATTAATAGGGACTTAACAATTATATTAAATCCAAAAAATAAAAAGATATCGGGTTAATCGGGTTGGGTTGGGCTAAAATGACCGTAGCCCAATTCCAACCCAATATTTAAGATTTGAAGATTTTACAACTCGATTAGACATTGAATTTTTGAGTTAAGTAATTTTCCGTCGGGTTGGGTTGACAAGGTTCTTGAGCCACCCTATCCAGGGTGTATAACGATCGATTGGATTGGACGGATAACATGTAAATCAAGAACGAGAATTATACAGAAAGGTGGAGCAAATAGTGCTCCAAAAAAACATAATGAAGCTTAATAGATGATATAAATAAAATTTTATCAAAATTATATTTTGACGAGCTAAGTTTTTTATACAATCCTACTTTCATATATTAATAAGAGCATCTCAAACAATTCTTCAAGAACATAGAAATTAAAAAATTTGAGTATTTTTTGCTAATAAATTCTCTAAAAATAGCGAAAAAAATTCTAATTTTGTTTATTAGAATCTTGCATAATTTGTATTAAAGCCAAAAAACAATATTTGATTTTGGGAAATCACAATGTTTCAAGGAAAAGGTTGATGTATATATTTGTAATAGAGAAAATCAACTTTTTTTTTTTTTTTTTTTCGATGTTCCACAGTTTTTTTATCTCATTTTCTAAAATGGAGAAGCATAGATAAAACTTCAAATATAAAGAATCTCTAAAAATTAAAAGAGAAGAGATAGAAATGAGCTTTTTATTCATCCCCACCAATGAGGGTTGTACGAATATCATTATATATATTTTAAGTGTATTAAGATCATAAAATTATAAAATATTCAATAATTTTCTCTAAGTCAAATACAAATAACATGCTATCTAACTCGACTTGACGTGTTAATAAATAAATATCCATACATATTTTAAATAAAATTTCCATACATATTTTGTATAATGTGAATATTAAAAAATGGTGGGGATATTTTCATTTATATCACAAAATAGCATGAATATTAAAAAAATGGTGGGGATATTTTCACTCCTATCTATATGTTTAACGAGATTGTTATTTACACCCCTTACTTATATGGGTGCAATTAAAAAGTCAAAAAAAATTTGAAAAATGACATTAAATAACCAAAAAAAGAAAAACATAATTTCTCTCTCTCTCTCTTTGTTTTTTTTTTTTTATTTATTAGACAATAACAAAAATTAGTACATATAATTATTATTTTATTTATATTATACATAAAACAAATTTTAAATAAACTAAACAAATTATGTCTATAAATATCCAACTTGAAATTTGCTATTTATCAACTTTTAAAAAATTATTGAGTTATGATAAATAATAGCTAGGGGTATCTTTAACACGTGAGTAGAGGTGTACATGTTAAAAACACTTTTAATATCTACTATTAATTATAAATCAATAATTACATTACCATCTAACTTTATATTTTAATTATTTATCTTTTATTATTTTTATTTCTTTCAACTATTTAAGTTTTTATTATTCTTATTGTGTAACGGCAGTTATT